AAAAAGTGGGCAATGGACATGGATAGATAATTCTCAAAAGAAGACATGCAAATGGCCAGCAGGTATATTTAAAAATGCTCAACACCACTAATCATCAGGGAAATACAAATCAAAACCACAAGAAGGTATCATCTTACCCCAATCAGAATGGCTATTATTAAAAAGACAAAAAATAGCAGATGCAGCAAGGATGTGGAGAAAAAGGAACTCTTTACATTGTTGGTGGGAGTGTAAATTAATACAGCCACTATGGAAAACAGTATGATTTCTAAAGCAAACTAAAAATTGAATTACCATTTCATCCTACAGTTTCACTAATGAGGTTTTATTCAAAGGAAAAGAAACCAGCATATCAAAAGGATACCTGCATCCTTATGTTTATTGCAGCACAAACACTAATATGTTACAGATGACATATTAATGTGGCTGTATGTGATTGTAAATATATAGAAAAATGTAAAGTGGATTAGCTTTGATTATCTGTTGACAGGCTGTTGGAGTGGCTGGAGTTGCTTTGAATGGAAGTAGAAAAATCGAGAAGACATAAAATGTAAAAGTTACAGTTAGGCCAGGGGTGGTAACTCATGCCTGTTATCTCAGCACATTGGGAGGCTGAGGCACAAGAACTGCTTGAGGCCAGGAGTTTCAGACCAACCTGGGAAACTAGCAAGGCTCCATCTCTACAAAAACTAAAAAAATTAGTAGGTATTGTGGTGTGTGCCGGTAGTCCCAGCTACTCAACAGGCTAAGGCAGGAGGATCACTTGAGCCCAGGGGGTCAAGGCTGCAGTGAGCCAGGATTGTGCTACTGGACTCCCACCTGGGTGCCTGGGCAACAGATTGAAATCCTGTCTCTAAAGTAAATAAGTAAAGTCACACTTATGCCAAGTTATATATGTATGCATGTGTGTATGTAAATATTTATTTTAATAAAAGGACATGCAAGTGTTGGATGGTCTGTTTTTCTCCACTGGTTTGAGACATGGGCTTAAAGTTAAATCAGTGAACAAAATGAGTTATATTCATTATGAAATCTGCTTCTATAAGAAGACTTTTTCCAATGTATCAAATAGATTTTCTTTTCTACTTGAATTTTATGGCATTTAATAAAATGATGTATTCTTAGAAGATGTATTCTTCTCAATTACTTGTCTGGTATACAGTAAGGTGTGATTCATGAACAAAGATTTTTCCACATACAATGTATAATGTACAGTAGTCACAGGGCTTCTCTGTAGTATGAGTAACTTAAAACTGGTTCTGAGTTCTGTGAAAAAGACTTTTTCACTTTCAATAAATACACTTTTACGCATGTGTAAATGCTGAAGAATACTGAGAACTGATTTCTGTGTGAAGTTACTCTCACATTTGCTCTTTTGTTGTCTCCTTCTGGTGGAAACGTTCTGATAAATTCCAGGTGAAGTGTCTTTAGTCACTGTTCTTATAGGTTTTGTTCTCCGAATTGTTTTTAATGTATAACAGGATTTGAATTATTGTTTTTTGTCGTGTGTGAATTTACTATGTTCAGGTCATTAACTTTTCAGTGGAAGATTCCTTAGTCATCATAGTCATAAAGTTTCTCTCCAGCATAAATTTTCTGATATATAATAAAGTATGACTTTTAAAGAAAACCCTACCCACATTCAGTACAAACAGAAAATTACTCTCCCCTATGAATTATCTGATGCATAATTAAATGTTTGAGTATATGTTTTCTTATATTTTCTGAATTTGCAGTATGATTCATTTTAAAAAATTAAATTAAAATGTATTTTTGGCTAGGTTCAGTGGCTCACATCTGTAATCCTAGCACTTTGGGAGGCCAAGGTGGGAGGACTGCTTGAAGCCAGGAGTTTGAGACCAGCCTGGGTAACAAAGCAAGGTCTCATCTCTCCAAAAAAAAAAAAAAAAAAAAAATCCAGGTGTAGTGGCACACACCTGTGGTCTGAGCTACTTGGAAGGGTAAGGCAGGAGGGTTGCTTGAGCCTAGGAGTTGAAGTCTACAGTGAGCTATGATCATACCACTGCACTCCACCCTGGGTGACAGAGTGAGACCCAGTCACTAAATTAAAAAAAACATTAAAATTAATAAAATAGAACAAAATGCATTTTTATTAAAACATTTAAACAGTAAAAATATCTTAAAATAGTTTGCTGTAAATGCAGATGAACTATAATAGAGTGCTAGCATAGAAAGAAATGGTTGGCTTGGCATGGTGGTTCGCACCTGTAATCCTAGCACTTTGGGAGGACCAGGTAGGTGGTTCACTTAAGCCAGGAGCTCAAGATCAGCCTGGACAACATAGTGAAATCCCGTCTTCCCTAAATATACAAAAATTCACCGGGCATGGTGGTCCATGACTGTAATCCCAGCTACTTGGGAGGCTGAGGCATGAGAATCGCTTGAACCCAGGGAGGTGGAGCTTGCAGTGAGCCAAGACTGCCGCAGTGCACTCCAGCCTGGGTGACAGATCAAGGCTCTATCTCAAAAAAAAAAAAAAAAAAAAAAAAAAAAAAAAAAAAAAAAAAAAAGAAGAAGAAAAAAGAGGAGATATGGCTAATGTACAGTGTTTTCCCTAGTAAAGTCTATATTCCACATGCCTTCGATCTATACTAACCTTTGAGTTCTACTTAACATTTAGCTCTCCCAATTCACTCATAGTTTTCCATAATTTATTCCTCAATCAATTCACAAGTGCCCCTTGAGATGCAAGAAAGTCTTTCTCTCTTCTAGAGATTAATCCTGTGTGGACAAAAGGTCAAGTAGCTCTTTTACAGTTTTTTTCTTTGGGAGTGTAACAATCTATTCTCCAAATATGTGCTTGAGAATAAAGGCTGAGAATCACTAGCTCATTAATCCTACTACGTTAATTTTTCAAAACTTGGGACTCTATACCAGTCTTCATCAACCCCATTTTCTATTAATTATACAAAGGAAAAATCATAGTATTAAAAAAGACATCGGAGAAGCTTTTAGTCAATCCCTTCCATTTGCTAAAATTTGGCAGCTACCGAAAGAAAATCTGAAACCACCAGAGGTAATTTTCTCTTATGTATCAAAGTTTGTAAAGGTTTTAACAAATGAGCGAATGCCTTAAGACTTTTAGCAACAAAAGACTGGAATAAAGTAATGCTGCAAATCTAAGCATTTTCATTTAGAAGTCAGTAATTTTGGTAATTTAGAAAATATATTTTTGGTCTTGATACTTCTTCAATAGAAACAGCTATCTCAATGAGTTGAAAACTTGTGCCAGTGGCAGAATAGGTGGTACAGACTAGTACTTCCTTTGAGAACTAAAAAAGGTGGATGAAAATATTAAACACATTTAATTTTTTGAAGGCGTAAGAAAGTTACCACAGCAGTGAGAAACTGCAGGAATAAAATAGAGACAAGACATAATGTCTGAAATTTGGGACTGTTTATAACTAAGAGGTATTTGCTAATTCTGAAGGCAAATACTGGGCAAGAGAGGCTGGAGAGAATTTTTGACAAATTCAAGTGACTTAAGGACAAATACTAGAATTCAAGTCTTTCCAAAGAGGAGGGGCCTGACATACCTCCCAAAGTCCTAAGTCCTAAAATTATCCTAGAAATAAGGTTTATATGTTCACATTTTGAACATATAATAAAATAAGAGAAGTCTTTCAGAGACTCAAGTCCAGTTTCAGATAATCTCAATACATGACCGGATAAAGGTGATCAGGAATTACTAGTGACCTAGCCTAATCACCTGTTAGAAGCTATGGTAAATTTTCTGTGGAAGAAGGTATTATCCAGAGCATCTTATTACCTCTACAATTTTAATATATATTGTCTGGCAAGTGATATAAAAAATCATGATATAAGGAGATAGGACATCAGCAAAACTGGAGAAAAACACCAACCATTAGAAACAGGCCAACAGGAGAGCTAGGTAATAAGGCTATCCCTAAAAGAAAGAGAGAGAAAATGAGGCAGATGCATAAATAGATAATAGCTGGGAATTTCCAAAAATGCATGTGTTTGCACACACACGCAAGCACACAACGCACACATCCCAAAAACGACTAAGCCACAAATTTAAAAATCATTATAAACTCCAAGAAGGATAAACACATAGAAAAATTACACCTAGGCATATCAATGTGCAACTGTTAAAAAGACAAATAGATAAATTTCAAAGAAGACAGAAAAGCAGATTTCTTACAAAGGTAATTGTATAAAGCTTACTTCTCAATAAAACAATAAAAGACAGACCAAAAGAAAATATCATCAAAATACTAATAGAAAACAACTTTCAACTTAGAATTCTATATTCAATAAAAGTATCCTTCAAAAATGAAGGCAAAATAAAACACTGCCAATAAACAAAAAACAATTTGTCACCAGCAGACTCACAGTAAAAGAAATACTAAAAGGTGTTCTTCAGTAAGGAAAAAAAAATAATTTTAAAGGAAAACTTAAAGGACAGGAAGGAATAAAAAAGTAATGAAAATGATAAATATGTGGATTAATTTAAATGGATATTGACTCAAATAATGATTGGCTATGTTCACCATATACAGAATCCAAATATACAACATCAATAACATATGAGGGCTAAATAAATGGAATTAATGTTATAACTTTTCCCCTTGTCCTGAAATGTTGTTAGTACTAATTTACATTAGCTTTTAATCAGTACGCATATTATATTAGTATCTGACATAGTACATTCAAGGCAAAAAATTACTAGTGATAAAAAGAAACATCTAATAATGATAATGTGTCAATTAACTAGGAAAATTGTAACAATTCTAAATTGTATGTAAAATCAGAGACAAAATATATAAAGCAAAAATTAGTAGCTCTCAAGTAGACAAATTCACAATTATTTGTAAAATTACAACACACTTCTTTCAGTATCTGATAGAAGACAAAAAAAAGTCTATTCAAATACAGAGAATTTGAAAAACAAAATTAATTAAGATTAGTTTGTAGAGATTCCGAGGAGATAAAAGGAGAAGTCTTCCAAATGTTCAACTACATTTTATCTTCTAATGAAACAAACTCATGGTAATCTAGCAAGTAACTAACATGTAGAGAATGTACTAACAAAATTGGAAAAAAATTTAGGGTTTGACATCAATTTTCTTAATTTGTCCTATTTTTCAAACAGGAATTGGTAACAACAAACATCCACAAAGTGCAGGTTTCTGTGGTCAAAGCTGAGGATCTAAAGTGCTGCTATCTAGAGCTGGGTCCCTGTAGCTAAGTTCCATGATCTTAGGGCCAGTTCTAAGGGGATAAGTAGTTAGAGGACTGTTGCGTACATCATTGGGAAAATAGGCTTTTGATAAATAGGCCAGGAGCAATTTAGACCTCCTTGGTACCTGCTGCCCTGGCATACACCAACAGATATAACAATAAATAATGGTGACTTCCCAAAGAAAAGTGAAAAAAAGTAGAGTCCTTTCTTTCTGTCTTTAGTGTTAATTTTCAAAAAAATTGCTGATTTATTTTCAGTTTAGATCTGAATTGCCCTCCTTTTGTCTGGATCTGTGTCCTTAGGCTGCTTAGACAATGTAAAATTATCACTCTACTCATTATGAATTTTATTGTGACAATATTGAATAGTACCCAGAACATGAAAAACTCAACAGCCCTGAATTTATAAAACTGTTTGCCCAAAAAGTGAAACAAGACTGCAAGTCATCTCCTTGCACATTTAGTATTATTTGCAGGAGCTTGACAACACCAATATCTGTTAAGTAACCAAATATGGCCACTATACATTGCTTAAACACTCTCAATAGTATCTCCCCATATGTGTAACTGGATATCAGCTATATAATCCAGGTGTTCATAATTCTAACTAGATAGAAGAAAGCTGGCCTTGGTCACCTCCTGAGTCCCCATACCGTAATTGTGGCAATGGGCACTCTACTTTCCTAGGGTCAGATTTCTGAGGCATACCGAGTTGTGGCTTCCAGTTTAAGATTTTCCCCAAGTCACTGCACTTATAGGGTTTCTGTTTAATATGAATTTTCTGGTGTTTAATAAGATTTGATCTGATGGTGAAGGCCTTTCCACACTCAGCACATATATATGGTTTCTCTCCTGTGTGAATTCGATGATGCTCATGGAGTTGTGACTTCTTAATGAAAGACTTCCCACAGTCACTGCATTTATAGGGTTTCTCTCCAGTATGAATTCTCCTGTGTCTATTTAAGTGTGATTTCTGGATGAAGGATTTCCCACATTCAGTACAAATATAGGGTTTCTCTCCTGTATGAATTCTCTGATGCATGATAAGTGTTGATTTTCTTGCAAAGGCTTTCCCACATTCACTGCACTCATAATGCCTTTCTCCAGTATGGGATTGCTGATGTATATGGAGACCCGACTTCCGAGTGAAGGCTTTCCCACAGTCACCGCATTTATAAGGTTTTTCTCCAGTGTGAATTTTCTGGTGTGTAAAAAGATTTGATCTGTCAGTAAAAGCCTTTCCACATTCAGCACATCTATAGCGTTTCTCTCCTGTGTGAATTTGCTGATGTACATGGAGTTGTGATTTCTTAGTGAAGGATTTCCCACAAATACTGCATTCATAGGGTTTCTCTCCAGTATGAATTCTTTCATGTGTAATAAAATGTGATTTGTGGAAGAAGGCCTTACCACATTCAGTGCAAGCATATGGTTTTTCTCCTCTATGAATTCTCTGGTGCATACTTAGTGTTGACTTCTGAATGAATGCTTTCCCACATTCACTGCATTCATAATGTCTCTCTCCAGTATGACACTTCTGATGTATCCTGAGCCGTGACTTCCAGGTGAATGATTTTCCACAGTCACTGCATTTATAAGGTTTCTCTCCAGTATGAATTTTTTGGTGCTTAATGAGATTTGACCTGTCCGTAAAGGCCTTACCACATTCAGTACACATATAGGGTCTTTCTCCCGTATGAATTTTCTGGTGTATAATGAGATTTGTCTTGTGAGTGAAAACCTTCCCACATTCTGAACATATAAAAGGATTCTCTCCTGTGTGAATTCGCTGATGCACATGGAGTTGTGATTTCTTAATAAAGGATTTCCCACAGTCACTGCATTCATAGGGTTTTTCTCCAGTATGAATTCTTTCATGTGTGATAAAATGTGATTTCCGGATAAAGGCCTTCCCACATTCAGTACATACATAGGGTTTTTCTCCTGTATGGATTTTCTGATGCATACTTAGTGTTGATTTCCTTGTGAAGGCTTTTCCACATTCAGTACATTCAAAGTGTTTCCCTCCAGTATGAATTTTTTTATGTATATTAAGGTTTGAATTCTGACAGAAGTTTTTCTCAGATTTGCTGTACACATAGGGTTTTTCTCCAGAATGAATTCTCTGGCATCTGAACAGATCTGACTTCTGGATAAAGGCTCTCCAGTAGTCACTGCATTTATAGTAATTCCCCTCATTAGGAGTTTTCTGATGGTTTGACTTGAGGAAAAAATCCTTCTCATATTCACTGCATACACAAGGTTTCTCTCCTCCATAAACCCTCTGATGGCCATCAAGTTGAGACTTCTCAGTGAAGACTGCCTCACATTCATGGCATTTATGCTGCTTTTCTTCAGAACAAACACTCTCATGTGCAAAGGCATGTGAATTCTGGGAGAAAACATTTACACAGTCAGAAAACAAATAAAGGCTGTCTCTGGTATGAATTTTTTGATGTTGAATGAGAGCTTGCTTATGATGGAGAGGTTTCCTACATTGATTACATTCACAAGCAGTCACTACTGTATGAGAATTCATATGAGTAAAAATATCACCATCTCCAATAATCTCATCAGAATTTTCTGTTGCATTTCCATTATATAAGGTTGTAATAGGCTCCAAATTCTTTCCAAATGAGTTACAGTTATGGAGTCTTTTTCTTGAGGAAACCAAGTGTGTGTTTACATGAACTATTTCCCCAATATTCTTATAGTCACAGACCCTGTCATTAGCTAGTGTTTTCTTGTGAATGAAGGCAACACGACTTAAAGGTTTGTTCTGGTTTTCTCCATATCTTCTTGTGTGTTCATCATCTTTCCACAACTTTTCTAAAATGGAATATGGGTCATCTCTTGTGAAGAGATTAATTCTCTCAGACTGGAAAGAAACTTCTTCAGACATTCTCTGTTGTAAAGGTTCAAAACCAATTTTCCCATCTAAAAAAGAAAGAAAAGAAAAGGCTGACAGAAAGAACAATTAACAGAAAATAAGGCCAGGTGCGGTGGCTCATGCCTGTAATTCCAGCATTTTGGGAGGCTGAGGTGGGCAGATCAGTTGAGGCCAGGAGTTTCAGACCAGCCTGGGCAACATGGCAAACTCTGTCTCTACAAAAACACTACAAATACTGTCTCTACTAAAAATTATCCAGGGGTAGTGCCACATGCCTGTGATCCTAGCTACTTGAGTGGCTGAGGCAAGAGAATGGCTTGAAGGCAGAGGCTGCAGTGAGCTGAAATTGTGCCACTGCACTCTAGCCTGGGTGACAGGGCAAGACTCTGTTTCCACACACACACATACAAAATAAGACTAATTGATACACAGAGTTGATCCAAGGCAAACACAGGGAAATGAGACAGGCTATGTAAGTATAACAAATGTACATGAACATTTTAAATATACATAAATATATAGGTATAACAATCTATTTATATATAATAAATAATACAATGATATATAGTAATAATATTAATACATTTATGACATGATAAACAATACCATTTAGATGTGCTGTTCTAAGTTATTAATTTACCTAAATTTTATCCCAGCCAGGTGTCATTGCTGGCTCATGCCTATAATCCCAGGACTTTGGGAGGCTGAGATGAGAGGATTGCTTGAGTCCAGGAGTTTGAGACCAGCCTGGGTAACATAGTGAGACCCCCATCTTTACAGATAAAACAAAAAATTAGCTGGGTATAGTGGCATGTGCCTATAGTCCCAGCTACTCAAGAGGCTGAAGCAGGGGGATCACTTGAACCCAGGTGTTTGAAGCTGCATTAAGCTACAATCGCACCATTACACTCCATCCTGGGCAACAGAGTGAGACCCTGTCTCTCTTTTTTTTCCCTTTTTTGAGACAGGGTCTCACTCTGTTGCCCAGGCTCTGGAGTGTAATGGCAAGATCATAGCTCACTGCAACCTCCACCTCCTGAGTTCAAGGGATTCTTGTGCCTCAGCCTCCTGAGTAGCTGGAACTACAGGTGCATGCCACCACGCCTGGCTAATTTTTATATTTTTAGTAGAAACAGGGATTCACCATGTTAACCAGGCTGGTCTCGAACTCCTAACCTCAAGTGATCTATCCACCTTGGCCTCTCAAAGTGCTGGGATTACAGATGTGAGCCACCAGGCCCAGCTGAGACCCTGTCTCTTAAAAACAAAAACAAAAAGCACTTTATCGCAAACCTTTGCTATTCGTATTATTATTGTTTCTAGTTTACAGATGAGGAAACTCAGCCATAGAAGAGGTTCGTAATTTGCCTAAATCAAATGTTTAGTAATTGGGGAAGAAATTCCAATTTGGTGCAAATGTAGTAGAACTGCATGGTGAGTGAGGTGTCAGAAGAACAAACTCTGTGGCTTAAAAGAAGTATTTCTGAGTCTAGATTCTTATCTTTAATCTGTAAATCCTCGCAGTCTTCCTGTTTTGTGTTTTCTCTATGATCCACTGTGCCCTAAATACCAATTTATTGGTGCTTATAGTAAAATTATGACAGCTTAATCATCCTAAGTTGGCCAAACAGTAAAATGTATATATATTTGTTATATTTCTTTTTTTAAAAAATTACCAGTCCAAAGTCTCATCTGAATATTTGTTATACTCATATAGACTCTCTCATTTCTCTGTTTGCTTGAATCAACTCTATATATCAATTGGTCTATTTTCTTTTGAGATGGAGCCTCACTCTGTCACCCAGGCTGGAGTGGCTGGACTGCAGTGATGTGATCTTGGTTCACTGCAACCTCCGCCTCCTGTATTTAAGCAATTCTCCTGCCTCAGCCACATGAGTAAGTGGGACTACCGGCATGTGACCCCATACATGTATTTGTAAAAATACTAATTTTTGTATTTTTAGTAGAGATGGGGTTTCACCATGTTGGCCAGGCTGGTCTCAAACTCCTGACCTCAAGTGATCTGCCTCACTCAGCCTCCCAAAGTGCTGGGATTACAGGTATGAGCCACCGTGCCGGGCCTATGGTTCAAATCTTCATCCCTGGTTTAGGGTACTGATATGATAAATGCATCTAGTAGCAGATGTAACAGGAAAGAACCAGACATCAGAGGAGGAGAAGTTGTCCATCAAACCTATGTCCTTCCGTCACAATATTAAGCTTGTAGCCAAGTACATGGCTGCCTCGTAACACTAGGTTTGTCCAGCTTCATTTGTCACTAGGTAGGACTGAGTAACACTTTTCCACTAATCAGTAGGAGTAAAAATCGTATCCGTTGTGATAAGGCCAATGTCTTAAGAAAGTGGGTTTTTCTCCTAAAAACCTCTTCTTTTCCCCCCAGTATATTCCAATGTGGCAGCAACCAGTTCTGTGAGGCTGGCAATGCCCTAAGGCAGGGGTCAGCAAACTGAAGTCCTTGGGCCAAATCCAGGTCCCTACATGAGACTAAGAATAGATTTTACATTTTTTTAATGGTCAAAAAATTTATCAAAAGACTACTACTTCATGATGTGAAAATTACATGAAATTCAAATTTTAGTGTCTACAAAGTTTTTATTGGAACACAGCCACGCACATTCATTGATATATTTTCTAGCTTTTTTGGGACTACAGCTGCAGAAATGAGTCGTTGTAACAGCAGCCATATGGTCCACAAAGCCTATTTACTTTTGTGCCTTTACAAAAAATTTGTCAGCCCCTGCCCTAGGGGATGGTGGTTCAATGACTTTCTAGAAACTTTGTCCCTGAATGCCCATGGAAACAGAGTTGCCCGGTATTACAGCCACAGAAAAGGGACGAACACTGCAGTCTATTTTGTTACTGAATCTGAATATATAGTCTTTTCATTTTCTTCATTTAATCTTCCTTTTTCTGATCTTTTGTTTCTATTCAAAATTCATTGTTCTTCAGTAAACATTTGGGGTTCTCTGCTTTAAAAACTAATTTCAAATTTCACCACAACTCTAGAGAGGCTCTCTCTTTTAACTTAAAAACAACAACAACAACAAAAAGATACTCTGAACCATTCATATTTATACTTGAATTGGCATAGATGTGCATGTTAGCAAATCTATAATGCACAAAGACTGAAATTTTCAAGATTTCATGCAGTTATCCTCTCTTTCAAATTAGTTTTCCTAGCCCTTTTAATTGCTTCTAGAAGAAAAATTAAAAAATTTTTCTGAAATAGAGCAAAATGACCTCCTCTGCCTATAACACAAATTCAAGAATATAATTTCACTATTGGCTACAGAAACTTTGTTTTTTAATGTATAAGGGCAAAAGACTCAGTTATCATATAATTTAATGTAGGTTTCTCTGAATTTCTGGAGGTTGTATGCTGCAATAGGTCCAATTCAAGGAGTAAGTGAAAGCTGAGCACAAAATATGTGTATTATTTGTCTTTTTTTGTTTGTTTTTTTTTGAGATGGAGTCTTGCTCTTGTTGCCCAGACTGGAGTGCAGTGGTGCAGTCTTGGCTCACTGCAACCTCTGCCTCCCAGGTTCAAGTGATTCTCCTGCCTCAGCCTCCTGGGTAGCTGGGATTACAGGCGCACGTCACCACACCCGGCTAATTTTTGTACTTTTAGTAGAGATGGAGTTTCACCATGTTGGCCAGGCTGGTCTTGAACTCCTGACCTCAAGTGATCCACCTGCCCTGGCCTCCCAAACTGCTGGTATTATAGGCATGAGCCACCGTGCCTGGCCAAAATATGTGTATAATTTGAATAGGCAGATAGATCACAAAATAATTGAAGAGTTCAATGAAGAGGGAGCATTAAAGAAAATGTTAAAATGGGGTAGAAATGGTTACAGAAAACAGGAACCAATGTGAGTTTCAAAGATGAGGACATATTCTTTCTCTAGCTTACAAACCTACTGAGAGGAGAATCTGTCACATGTTAGCTATTAAGTAGTAACTTTAGTTTTGTTCCATGTAGCAATGACAGGATAAACACAGCACACAATGTTTTAAGTAATGAAATCTATCAGTAGTATCTGAGATGAAATACTGAAAAAGAAAAAAATGGGATTATCACATACAAATAGGATTAGGATAATCCAGGCATGAGAAAATAGACATGGTTGTAGGTGATATGACTGGGAGGTAAGAAAAAGGCATCTAAGTGGTGTTTTCTAAACGAAAAAAATAAGTAGAAGAGCAGAATGAATGATCTGAGAAGATAGATTGGAGGGAAAAGTAAAAAATTACAAGAGAGGATGATGACATTTTGAAAGGCAAGCCACCTGCTTTTAGCGTGCTACATTGTATCTTCCTTCACACAAACAGCCTGACCCTGATAGGCACAAGGTATTGGTCTTTCCCCGGAGTGCTGCATACAACAGGGCCAATGCCTGACTGAGACACACAAAGAACAGTCACAGAGTAAAAGTTGTTCCCATGAGCCAATTATCACTCAGAGCTTATGCTGCCGCTGAGACACATAATCTGAGACACAGATAGGTCCGGGCTGAGACACATGGCCCAGGGCAACATAATGAGGCTTTTTGGGGACAGCTCCAATCAAGTCCAAATGGGGCTAGAGTAAGCAAGGAAAGGACTGTCTTGGGGTGTTTATGGCAGGGGGTGGGGCTGGGCTGACCATTCCCTTATGTAGTTGGAATTTCCCACCAGCATCAATGGAAGGAACACATGGGCTTTTGTCTCCGTTTGTCCAGGTGTGGGGCAGAAAAAGAGAAGGGTAAGGCTTAGAAAATGTCAGCAGTTGAACATCAAAAATGGAGGATACAGAATGAGATATTCAAAATATTTTATAGGGAAATACAAATTAAATAATAATTAGAACGTAAAACCCATCAGATTAGCTAAATTATTAAAAATTTGGATAATACCAGGTAGGTAGGGGTAGGGATGTGGGGAACCTAATACCCTTGTACAAAGTTCCAGGTATTGTAGAGTGACACAGCCAATCTGGAAAATAATGTGCTTATACCTCATCATATTAAATATTAGTACACTCAGTGATAAAGTAATCCCACTCTTCTTCCTTAAGAAAGTCTCATCTCTGATAAGAATAATTCATGAAAAAATGTATTGCAGTACTGTTTGTAGTAGCTGAAAAACTGGACAAGTAAAATGTGGTATATATGTGCACTACAGAATGATACGTGGCAATTAGAAAAATACATTGCAACATGGACCAATTTGAGAAAAAAAACTGAATAGGATATTGTAATTCACAATACCAACAACTCAGATTTTACAAATATCCCACAAGTTCAAGGATAAATGGCATAACATGTCAAATATATTGGAACAGTTGCCTCTTGGGAGGATAAAAATGAGTATGGAGAGTGAGGATTGAAAAGAATAAATGAAATAAGAGGGGAGCCATGAACGCATTGATGATGATACGCACAATAATTTTTTAAGAAGGTAGATCTGTGAGTATTTGAATGCATAAGAAAATGATCTAAGACCCTGATGGAGGTAGAAAGAATAAAACTTTTCTAGGGAAAGAGAGAAGCAAAAAAGCAGGACTCTAGAAAGTACGGTGTGACATGATCAAAAGAATTGGTAATTGTGGCACATTCTCTCCTAAAAAGCCAAGCAAAGAAGGCATTGATATGAGAAGGGGTCTTAGGTGGGGTTAGCATTTAGATATCCAAGGGTCATTGTCCAATAACTGCTCTATCCAAGCAGTTTTAAAAGTCATATTAATGACACATCAAAGTTGTGCATAGCCTCTCCCAGTACGAATGCAGCTGAGTCATACTGTCTACCATGTTCTTGGGTCCCATCTAACCTGGACAGCTCTGACTGGAGATCCCACCATTCAACATACATGGCTCTTCTTGTTCCAAGTTGAAGATGACTTCTGGTTTGGGAACTTGACACCCTGTTAACAGGAGATGATAGAGGACTTGGTTTCAGAGGCCATACAATGAAGCATTCCATTTGCTTTCCAGAAAAGTTCACTGGGAACAGAGGAATGTTCACACTACCCAAAAGAGATTGTTAAGAACATGGGACAAAATAAGGACAAAACCATTACACACTTCAGATGTTCTGCAGTCTTTAGAAGTCCCACATACCTCAGAAAACACAGACTTCAGCAATTCTACTGAGAAAAAAATAATACTCATTAGCTGCAGCCTAGTGTATACCCAGCAGAGCTGTGCTTACCCACTGAGATCAAGTTGAAATAGTTTTCCAGCATCACATCTCTGTACAGACTTTTCTGAGCAATGTTTAATTGTTGCCACTCATCCCTGCTGAAGTCTACAGTTACATCCTTGAATGAAACTGATTCCTGTAAAAAAAAAACAAACAAACCAAAAAAACCCTATTCAATGTGAAGGATAGAGATTACAGAATGGAAACAAGATAGGCCCTTATTTTTAATGTGATACGGTATACTATAAAGAACTTCTACAACTCAACAACAACAAACAACATTATTTTAAAAATGGGTAAAGAGCTTAAATAGACATTTCTCCAAGGAAGATATTCTAATAGTCAATAAGCACATGAAAAGATGCTCAACGTCATTAATCTCTAGGGAAATACAAATTAAAACTATAAGGTATCACCTCACACCCATCAGGTTGATAAAGAAAATGTCTCAAATTGATTATAATGATGGTTGTACAACTGATTTATATACTAAACATCAATACATGGTACACTTTAAATGGTAAACTGTGTGATGTATGAAGGGGAGGGTTGTTTTTTGGCACTGCCATCTCCAGATGGGATACAATAGCTTGGCAGTCCAGTGCTTTTTTCAAGAAGGAACAGTAAATGCCAGATGCAATACTGAAATAATCTGTTTTAAAGCACTGGAAAGCTGCTGAGGTTACAAGAAATGTAGGGGCTAAGACTGGAGAGGATACTCAAGACTGAGGCTGATTAGTGCAGCCACTTTGACAGTGGAGCACTTACCAGTTCTGGGTGTGGACAAAAGGTGAGAATCCAGCTATTGTCCTGGATTCTCATTTTGTCCTATCTACTGGAGAATGCAGGAGAAGGCTGCAGCTGGGTGACAGAGAAGCCAGCGTAACTCAAATATGTGGCTGTTTGCTTCTCAGGATATTTGCTGAATTCTAGGGCATACAGGGCAGAAGACTAAAAATGTAAGCAAGTAACCTTTGAAGAGCAAAGCAAAAGCCTGGTATCTTTAAGAAAACAGTTGGGCATCTATCAGGAGGAGGGTCTCTAGAGGACAGAAGGGCTCTCAGCTGAAAATTCTCAGTAGTCAGGGTGATCCAGAGGTAAACTGAGTCTTAGCAGAGCTTCAACCTGGCCTTGATTCAACACTGTGCCTGACTGGATGTACGTGTTCTCCCTTCCCTCCATTTGCGGACATAAGGAAAGATGAACCCTCTGTGGAGAAAGATAACACCATCCAGATCCTCTACATCTTTTCTTTCTTTTTTTTTTTTTTTTTTTCTGAGACAAGGTCTTGCTCTGTCATCCAGGCTGGAGTGCAGTGGCATGAACACGGCTCACTGCAGCCTCAACCTGGACTCAAGTGATCGTCCTCTCTCAGCCCCCCAAGTAGCTGGGACTACAGGCACATGCTACCATGCCCAGCTAATTTCTCTATCTTTTGCAGAGATGGGTTTCGCCATGTTGCGCAGACTGGTCTCGAACTCCTGAGCTCAAGTGATCTGCCCATCTCAGCCTTCCAGGTATGAGCCCTGCCTACAACTTTTTATACCTGGTGTTTGAAACAAACAAACAACTCCTATGCATACAAAAATATAGGACCACATATCCAAAATCAGAGAAAGAAAAATTCAATAGAAGCAGTTACACAGAGAATTGGAGTTAGATGAGAAGATGAATATCTTTAGATAATTGTTTTTTTAAATAAAGAATCAAACCAAAGTTCAAAAGTTGAAAAATCCAATATCTAATATTAAGAAGTCCTTAAACAGGTTTAACAGCAAAATACAGAATTACTGAAATGGAAGACAAGTAAATAGAAAATATCCAAACCGAAGCAGAGGTTTTTTTTAAAGAAAAAAAAAAAACAAAAAAACACAGGAACATTAAGAACACGTGTGACACAGTAAAAAGGCATAACCTATCAGAGTCTGAGGAGTTCTTAGAGAGGGCAGGGAGGAAGCAATATTTGAAGAAGTAATGGCTATGAATGACATCAACCCTTAGGATTCAAGAAGCTCTTCAAATACTTCTTTACAAAACTGCAAATACTGACTATGCAAAACAATAACAGTACTATTCTGGGAGGTTTAAAATATATGCAGAAATTAAATTCATGGAAATAATAATGCAAAAGTGGGAGGCAGTAAATAGAATTAAAGTGTTTTAGTATCCTAGCATTATTAGGGAGATAAAACAAGTTAAAGATGGATGTTTTAATATCCAGGGTAAGAAATAAATAGTAAAAGAATTATAACAAGTAAACAAAGGAAAAAAAGTAAAAAAAATTATGTAATATAAAAAGTCAAGAAAGGAATGAAAAAATAGGTAGTTCAAATAAAAACTAATAGTAAGGTAGTGTATATAAATTCAAGCATATTAGTAATTACATTAAGTGTAAGTGCATTAAATATTCAAGTTAAAAGCAAGGATTGAGACTTCTGGTTTTAACAACAAAACAAAACAACGAAAGAGTGCAATTCCACCCCATTCCTCCTGCTAATTACCTAAAAATCTAGAAAAATACATAAGGCATGTATCAGAAGACTCACTGGTGGAGAAAAGAAAGTAGAGCCTAAGGACTTAAAAAACAACACAGTAGTGAGTTCCCTAGGATTGCTTAGAGGGAGAGAGGGAGCTCCTACATACTGCCAAATGAACACTAGAGTAGTTTGCAACCTGGAAAAATCAATGGGCACAGACAAAAAAAGGCCTCCCCAAAGCACACACTTTCTAGCCAAATAATTTGAAATAGGGCAGCACTGCAGGCTGGGACCTTTTGACTATACATACCTACGAAGTTCAGAAGTACCCAAGAGCACCCTCACTTCTGACACCTACTGCAAGCAGAAGGATTTCCCAGGATCACCTGTACTTCTGACACCAATTCCAAGTCAAGGGTCCTTGAGACCACCCTCAGGTTCCATAATTCACTGGAAGAACTCACAGAAATTAGAAAAGCCATTACACTCATGGCTATGGCATTATACATTGGTTTTACAATGAAAGGATATAGATTAAAATCAGCCAAGGAAAGATGTGCTTAGTGCAGGTTCAAGGAGAGTTCCAGGTGTGAATTCCAGTGGTTTTCTCCCAGTGGAGCCATATGGACAGCACTTACTTCTCCCAGCAATAATGTGTGATGATAATACGCATGGAGTATTGCCAAGTAGGGAAGTTCACTTGAGCTTTGATGCCCAGAGTTTTTACCGAGACTTGACTATCTGGACATGAATGATTCCCACTGTGGCTAATCTTAGTTGCCTGCCCCTGCAGAGCTGATACTGCATGGCCAAAGGTATCCCACTATAAACCACATGTTGGCATAGAATATTCCGTGCGGCCTAAAGCTCCAACCATAAATCACATTGTTGTTATATATTATCTTGCATGGCCCAAGCAAGGCCTGCAGGACATTCCAAAGATTTAGAGGTTACCTCCCAGGAGATGAATGCAAAAGCCAAACCTCTCTCTGGGCAAAGTTAATCCTTTACTGCACCACAGTACACTGGAGGTGAAAACTACAAAAGAAGATTCATCCTTTGCCTTCTTCACTAAACAGTGTGACTGCTAAGATGGTGGAGTGGAGCTCTCTCAACCATTCCAACTGCATTAGCTCAAAGAGAGGTAGCACCTCTCTTACCTCTCCAGCAGGCATTGTAGAGATTGTGTTGACTAACCCTACCCCAAATTAAGTGAATGACAGCAAAGAAGTTCCCACTTTCTCCAACAGAAAGTGGAGGTGGATTATGGAGAAAGTTAGAAAAAAGGGTCCTTTAAATATGTGCATGATGCCCTGGACACACCTACGAGCAGCCCATGTATAAAATCAATCAAAATCAACAAGAAAAAGCTTTCAGGTTGTGGGGTACTCTCCAGGTTTCAAATTGGCTTCTGGGTAGCATAAAAATGAGAGACCAGATTAGAACTGCAAAGACTTTCAAAACTAAGTTGAATTTTAACTACAGCCCATAAAAATAGACTTAAGACATACACTCTAAACCTAAATATGTTGACAATGGCTAAAATAGAAGATTTAAAGAGAAACAAAATCTCATAACATGATATTGAGAATGTCCTGAATAAATCCAAAATTATTCATCATCTTAAGAACCAAGAAAAGCTCAAATTAAATAAGAAAAGAGCATCAACAGATAGCAACACTGAGATAAATCCGATATTGGAGTTATTTGACAAGGATTTAAAGTAGCTAACTAAAAGTGTTGCAACAAACAGCTGTAAATAGTCTTGAATCAAGTGGAAATATATACATTCTCAGCAAAGAAACAGAAGGTATAAGGAAGAACAAAAGGAAAATTTTAGAACCAAAAAATACAGTAAGTGAAATTAAAAACCTCACTGGATGATTTCAACAGCAGAATGGAGATCCAAAGAAAAGAATCAGTTACCTCAGTTACCTGTAAGATACATAAATAGAAATAATCCAATCTGAACAATAGAAAAAATAATTGATGAAATGATTGTTTCATCAATTCTCTTAGGCTGAATACAGCCTAAGGGACCCAGTGGGACAATAACAGAATAGCCAACAATCATTTCATCAGTCCTAGAAGGAAAGAAAAAGTAGGATGGGAGACCGGAAAAAGATATGAAGAAACAATAGCTGAAAACCTCCCAAATTTGGTAAAAGGCATAAATGTACAGATTCAAGTAGCTGACCAAATCTTCAAAAAGAAAACCTCAAATAAATCCATGTCTAGATACATTATAAGATTTATAATATCCAGATTCAAGAATAGAACAACAGTCAGAGAGAAATGACACATTACCTGTAGGGAAAGGGCAATTTGAGCAAGAGTGAATTTCTCAATAAAAACCACAGATATCAAAAGGAAGTGACACCACATTTTTCAAGTGCTGAAGGGAAAGAGCTGGCAATATTGAATTCAATATCCAGTGAAAATAAAATAGGCTCTGATTAAGTTCTCTGAAACTGAATTCTGAGGGATTACCTGTCATTGGTAGTTAAGAAAGAAGTCTGAAAAAAAAATAAAAAAGAAAAAGGAATTAACTGCCATATATTTACTAAGCATAATTACTTAGGTAATTCTGAGGAATTATCTGCCATATACTTACTAACTTTATGTAGTGAACATCTTCACAACTTCACACAATATGCTT